TCCGTATGTTCGTAGTGCTTGACTAAGAAGGTTGCCTAGCCCATTTGTGAGCTCCATTTTGCTCCACCATTAACGATTCGATTTTTCGAACAGTGATGATAAGTGAGAGTAAGAAGCAGTAGTAACCGGCTTTACAGGTTTTCGTTTTTAGCAGAGATCGTTGGGTTTCATTGAATTTTACCTTCTTTGCTTCGCAAGCCCCGTCATATACATAGCACTAAAAAGGGTTACGTCGTGCTGCTGCTGTGATTAATTACAAGGCATACATTGCGTGCCGGCTATCCATCAGTTATCCACAATATCACATCCGGAATACATTAGCAGCAGCAGCAGGTCGGCGGCGGCGGTGGCGCTGGCGTTGCCGGTGATGGGAACGGGAAACGTTTTAGTTGAGACGTTGACCGGTGTACGGGAGTGGTGATGGTCGCAAATAACAGATGTCATCTAATACATTACACGCAACGGTGACTAATTGACCTCGACTGCTTGATAGATGGACATGAAAGAGATACTGTAGCCGGGATGGAAACACCTATAAAGACGGTCACTTTAGGGTAGGATTGTCCAATACATTAGAAAAAATATCCACTGTAACGGGTTTTTTCCACCAATTTGAGAGGAATAGGCCAACATAGTTGCTGTGATTACAGTAATCCCACATGCAGAGGTGCTCCTTAAAGTCACGAAGTTTCTGGCTTGTTTCGTGGCACGTCTCGGTTTATGTTGAAAGCGGGTGAACGGTGTTAAGAACGATTATAAACAAGGACTGGGCAGATCCAGCAGCCTCAAGGCCCGAGGGTAAGACCACCCCATTGGGCCATTCCTCTAGAATAAAAAGGATCACCTCAACGGCTGATAAGGACGCTCGCGTCGCGAAGCCATGATCCACGCCCTCAAATAATTAGTCGTAAAGCTAGGATGCCAACCGGATGTGGAGATCAGAACCCCTGCCCGAGTTCTGTGGAGAATAAACAAGGACCTCAGCAAACCCTGCGGCTACCCGGGCTTAACGAGAGGGAGAAGAAGAAAAAGGTTGTGCAAAGCTTGTAACTGAATTGTTAGCATATTACTTTTTGAAAAAGTATTACATCTGAAGGCGAAATTTACAGTTTTGGAAAGCATGAAGGAAGTCAATGTTAATTGCTATCTACGCCCTGCATAAAAATGTCCGTTCTTGCTCCTTCAGAGAGGAAGCGCCCTTGAAAAATAAAAAGGATCTTTGAGTCATCGTTCGACAGTGCTAATAACGGTTCCTCTTTCCCGAACCCGATTTCCAACAAATTACAGTTTCCGATTTTCGGAGCGCGACGATCAGGAAAGGCCAGATCTTTTGTCCGAGTGAAATTCGTAACAGCGTCGTAAGAGAAAAGCAGTGTGTTGAGGGACTGCCCCACTTCCACCAATAAAAAAGGGCTATGAGATGTCCGACTTCTCTCACGGGAAAGGAAGTGAAAAGGTTCGAATGTTGCGGATAATCTATCTTGACTACCAGAAGGGTGCCGAATCATAATAAAGCCTCCTTGGCATCTGAAGTGCTCTGAAAGTAAAACTAAGAAAATAGGCCAGGTAATTTGTCATTTGCAATACTCGAAATGTACAAGAGTATAACTTTTGTACACAGGAATTTTGAGCCTTAAATGTTCCACAGGCGGCCAAAACTTCTACTGCAAACAAATGCAGTCGACTAAAGTACTGCCAAATTAGCGAAACACCACTGAGTGTGGCAGGATGAACAACGCCGCGTGGGTGATTCGATTTACCACGGCGGCGGCGATGGCTGCCAAATTTACGGATAACGAGGGTCCCTAAAGTTGTGAATCCAGATGGAACATTCCCAAGAAAATCCACAACTTTTTCTTTGGATAGTAAAGCAATCGTTCAGGTCAGCTTTTCAGAAGGGATATAAGCTAATTCCATAGAATATACCCTTTTGGAGTACACATATTCCAACCGGGGTTCGGGGTTGACCGGATGGCACCACTTACAAGGGACGATGAGTTGAATCTCGGATCATGTTCAGGGCACCCAGACCTTACATCACTCTGTCTCCCAGGCACTCATGCCCTTAGGGGGACATTCGATACAGCGCCGATGGTAGATGGCACTAGGGCGAAACTGTAGAGGGGAGAAGCCTCAGGAAAAACACAACTCGTTTACATCTTTCTACGGAGATCCTTACCCTCTCTAAGGCTTGGTACCAGATTTGCAAGTGGCTCACTTTCTTGGCTCAACTAACCCCCCTCCTCTCCCGCTCCAAGAGATCAGCGCCCTCTTCCGTTGATTGCAGCCAGAGTGATGTAGGGAAATAAAAAGGTATACATGTTTATTGGCTGGGTCCTTTGGAAGTCATTATACTATGGTCCAAATACATCCAAATGCCGCTTCGGTCTTCAATGGAATTCAGATACATGGTTCATCCATTAAAAAAGATGGAAATCAACACTGAATGACTTCTATTTTTATCTTTCTCGACACTCAACTATACGTGCGTTGTGATGTAAATTTTGTCGAGCGTCTCTATTTTCGAGTACTTAAATACCCATTTAATTTCGCAAGAGCGTAGACTGGTGGTGTTCTGTGACATTCTTGGGTCGTGTGCTACCCGGCCAAAAAGCCTTACTTCTATAGAGTCGTTCACTTGCCTCAGATATCTCCTAAAGGAGGAAAACTATAATGTTATTGTTGATGAGCCACTTATGCAAACTGTAGAAAAAAATAGGCATCAAAAATGCATTTCCCATTTCGTAGAAGGTGGCTGAATTCACGGACGCAATCCAGGATCCCTTTACAACATTCTTAACATTTTCTCGTTTTTTTGTCGATTCGAATCAAGTAAAAATTTTATTTTCGCACAGAAACTTGGAAAAATTGTCTGTGATTGATCGATTCGTAAGTTCAGATCATAAAAATCGATGACAAATCTGGTGAAATCGCTTTGGTGGCCCCACTCGATTACGAGAAACGACCCCGGTTTCGAAATCCTCGCTGTACCATCGATGGTGGAGACGGCATTCAGGTGTGTTCCGTAATTTGTGCATTATATCTGTTATTTCTTCATCTTTTCACTTACCTCTGGTATTTGGACTATGTAGGTAAGGAGCAGGGTCAACCGTGGCAACTATGAGTTTTTGCAATTGAACCACCCTAGCACTCCCAAACACCATTTCCCGTTGGGGGGAAAGGGCTCAAACCTCACGCGGTGAAATTACCAAGAACTGACCCCCTCCAACGGTCGATGATGTCCACAGCGTCGTGGAGCTTGCGTCCACTTTACACGCCCCAACTCTTCAGTAACCTTTGCCGACATTGGCAAAATTCGCTTTGAGGCCTGAGCTTATGCAGCTGTGGAAGTGGCGAAATTTTGATGAGGTTTGAATTCGAACTGATGAAAAAGCTTCTCAAGTATCCGCCTTTCACTCTCTATCCATAGTTCAACTTTCTATTTACTATCGCCGTGATATTATCATCCTCCTGTTCCTTTGATTCTATCTGTTTATCCTTTCTTCAATTCTTTTTTATTTTTTATTTTTTACTCTTTTTTAATTTTTTATCTTTAATTTATTTTTCTAACCATCTATGCCTCACTTCGCTTTTTTTTGCTCTGGCTGGGCCTTCATTATCAATATTTTATAAGTGATACAGCAACATGTGACAAAGATAATGCTACTTTACATAAGTCGTTTTATCTTGTAGAAATCTAGGCAAGTTTCCAAGAGTCGTGCTTTTATACTAGTAGGCCTCCCCCTTTGGCTTTAATTTCGATTGTAGAATTTTTCCGAACTGTAGGTTAATTATAGCTTTTTCAGGTTACTATTGATGTCGAAGATGTAAACGATCACACACCAACATTTTCGATGATAGGATCAAGGCAAGTCACCTACTATTACCTTCGACTTGTTGGAATAAAACAAATGGGAAGCTGTTCAGCTGGAGATCTCTGAGTTCGCCCGGATCGGAGCCGCCTATCCGTTGCCGAGAGCTGAAGATGCCGATGGAGCGAATTATACCGTCCAAAAGTATCGTATCGCTCAAGGAAATGTGAACAATGTTTTCAAGGTTGGTTTGGAATTTGCAGGGGGCGCTATCGCAAGATGTTGGGGCATCCTCTGGGAGTGAGCCCAGGAGGGCACAGGAACTGCGGAGAAAATGAATGTTGCTCACACACACTCTAGAGTCTTACTTCTCTTCCTTAGGGCTTCTTCTCAGTCGCATTTTGAAAAGGAGATGTTTCATGCGGTTTTTATGCATTGTCACAGTAATGCTTCCGTATCTCGCCACCTGCGGGGATTACTGTAATTAAACACAGACCTTAGAATCTTCAAACACTCAGCGGCGCACAGCGAAATTTCGGGACCCTGAAATTCATTCAGAGTGAGCCAACGTCGCTGATTCCTCAGTAGCCGCAGCTGGGAATCTCCGAATGCACCCGGATATCAAAACCTGGGAGCCCCTCTTTGGCTAGAACTAGCAGTTCAATTCTGGGATGGGAATAGGGTTCCGCCATGTAGTATTGCAGTCCATACCCCTCTCAGTCCCCTACCACATACCACCCGCCAAGATATTATGTGCGTTAGGCACTGGGGTAGGGAGTGAGATCGTGTTAGGCCTACACGGGATCGTAGCACCAAGTCCCTCCCGTAGCGTCATTGACTCCTACCAGAGTCAACCCTGCGTTGCGCAGTTCTCAACGGCCACGTTGCGCAGTTTCGCCCGATTAGACACGTTCTCTCGCGCGAACATTCACACTCGCATGCTCGAGCCGTCTGCGTCTCCGCCCATACAGCGTGCGTTGAGGATCTCTCAACGTGCCGTTGCGAACTGCGCAACGCAGGGTTGACTCTGCCCTCAACATGCAACTCAGGCTCTGGTTTTCGAAAGATGGTGTAATACTGCAGGGCTTATACAACACTTATAACCATTGTACAGCACCTTTTTATTATTGATTTTTTTCTGTTTATTTATCCATCTTTCTGAAAATCGGTTAATACAATCTGTTGAAGATCTCAGTACGTCCAGTGAACGGTGAACTCTATGCGGATCTGGTTGTAAACGGACAGCTCGATCGAGAATATCGCGACAAGTACGAACTGATTGTCGAGGCGATCGATGGCGGCAAACCAGCAAAGTATGAACACCTTTTTTATTCACCATACAATATTACGAATTGATTTCTGAAAGTTTCAATTAGTATAATCATCATTTTCGTTGAGTCCTACAATTAGACAAAAGCTTTGGAAACCATTCTGGAGCTTTTCAGTGCTTTAT